CGCTTTGCTTTATGTAGTTGCGATTTCCTTAATGTAGTTGCGCTTTGCTTTATGTAGTTTTGTTTTCCTTAATGTAGTTGCGCTTTGCTTTATGTAGTTGCGATTTCCTTAATGTAGTTGCGCTTTGCTTTATGTAGTTTTGTTTTCCTTAATGTAGTTGCGCTTTGCTTTATGTAGTTGCGATTTCCTTAATGTAGTTGCGCATTGCTTGATGTAGTTGCGATTTCCTTAATGTAGTTGCGTTTTGCCTTATGTAGTTGCGATTTCCTTAATGTAGTTGCGCTTTGCTTTATGTAGTTTTGTTTTCCTTAATGTAGTTGCGCTTTGCTTTATGTAGTTTTGTTTTTCTTAATGTAGTTGCGCTTTTAGATTTGTAGATGCAGTTTGCACTTCAGGAACACCGTAATTTACTCCTCCTACTTCTCAGGCTTTTCTGATTGGATGTTGATACTAGAAGGAACAAAATTATGTCAATTATTTTACAAAAAGTAAAAAAAAAAAGTTCATTTTCCCCAGTAAGGTCAGATTTTTGAAAAGTGTGTTCATTTCTATAAACTCACTACCCTGTCTGAGTTCCTTTTGCATTAATTACTAGAATTGATTAGCCTTGATTGCCAAAAAAACAAAACATTTTTTTATTTTCATCTGGAAAAATGATGTTGGATTACTGAGCAACAGTCCAGATTGTTTTCTCCTCAGCCAGGGTAAGACGCTTAGAGTCCACATGTGGGGTTCTTCTGTGCGTTGTGGCTCTTCATGCTCTTCAGTCCTCTCCTTGTGAAGCTCCCTCTACTTCTGGATTCATTCTGCTTAACTATCCCCTCTAAGGCTGCTGTTATTGCCAGGTTTTCCTTCCACTCAATTTTCTATGCTTGAATCCGTATATTTTTTCATTTGGGCAACATTGAATCCCATCACTTAATGGATAAATAATATTGCATCAATATGAAAAACAATGCTAATCACCTTCTTTAGTATTACAGAGAGGTCTATGGTAGGGAGAGTGAATTTGAAACAGACTAACCATGAAAAGCAGTTCTTTAAAAACCTTTTTTTTAAACTTAAGTCTTTCTTAAAGGAGAAGTTCGGTTTTTTACACTTTTAGCCCATTTTCTGTAGTGTCCAGGATGAAATCGAATGATCGACACCAAAAGTTTGACAATTGGTCCTGTCTCTGCTTTTTGGCTCATTTAGAATCCCCCCCTGGCTGCTTTAGAATGGCTTGCATAGTGCATGTCCGATAATGTCCTTAAAACAACCTTAAACGTTCTTTTTTTAAAATATGCTACTCACCGGGTCGTCAGCGCTGTTCAATGACGTTCCAAAAAAAGTTTCGTGAAGAAAAAACGTTCCTGTAGTGTTTTATTTAGCATTTTGTAAATCCCATTGAGTTCTGTAGGAATAGTCAATATTCCGCTGCCACCGGAAACGGAAATGGAGCCTGTTTACGCAGTTGTAGTCTTTTCACTTCACTCTGTGTACTCCGACGTCGAGGTGCTAACGTCTCTGTTAAACACTTAAAAAAACTCTGAAAATGGAATACGAAAGGTGGATTCTTGATTCTCGACGTCGGAGTACACAGAGTGAAGCGAAAAGACTACAACTGTGTAAACAGGCCCCATTTCCGTTTCCGGTGGCAGCGGAATATTGACTATTCCTACAGAACTCAATGGGATTTACAAAATGCTAAATAAAACACTACAGGAACGTTTTTTCTTTACGAAACTTTTTTTGGAACGTCATTGAACAGCGCTGACGACCCGGTGAGTAGCATATTTTAAAAAAAGAACGTTTAAGGTTGTTTTAAGGACATTATCGGACATGCTCTATGCTAGCCATTCTAAAGCAGCCAGGGGGGGATTCTGCATGAGCCAAAAAGCAGAGACAGGACCAATTGTCAAACTTTTGGTGTCGATCATTCGATTTCATCCTGGACACTACAGAAAATGGGCTAAAAGTGTTAAAAACCGAACTTCTCCTTTAAGGCTCAGCAGGTTCAGTTACGCTATCAAATTATTTAGACTTGAAAGTTAGTTTATTTATTTTGGTCCTAATTTGAATAAATCTCATATCTAAATATGCACTAAAACCTCTTTCCCTTTGAAAGGATTTTTTTCAAACATACGTCGACCTGCTAACAATCGACATTCGACTCCCTTCCCATCGGTAAAAAAAAAGCCGGTCTGACCTCCTGTCTGCAAGCTGCCTGGCCTCCTTCTGCCCACCGTGACGCCATCATACTTGGATGATGTTGTCATCAGTGTGACAGAATCCAGGGAAGTAAACAATGGAAGAGAGGTGGTCAGTCTTCTTTATTGTTTGGCTTTTTTCTCCCTGTGCATTGTTAATCGAATGCAAGCGGATCATGTCAAACGGCGGGTCGACCCAGGCCTTTGTGTTCCCATCGTTTGCCGATCAGAGACGACTAGTTTGATCGCAATTTTAACCAGACTCCTTTGACGAGAGTCGACGCAAATCAGTGAAGTGTTTCCACTCCCACTAAAATCTGATTTCTGGGTTTAAACTGCTTTTTCAGGAAGTGGGTTACGGGTATATTTTTAGGAGCACCATTTAATTTTTTTTTTAAATATATAATTTTCCCCCCTCCTCTCAACTTGAATATGCAAGAATTTTTTCTACCACTAAATTTAATTTGTTGGGAAAGACGAAGAATAAAAAAATAAAAATAAAAAACTGGAAATATTCCTTTTAATTAAGGATATATCATTCTTTTAATCATAGATTTGCTCTAAATCGAACCGTTCCTTTCATCTCATCGCTGCTTGCCACATCCCCTACAGCAGGAAGACAGATGGAAAATGGGTCAAATTTAATACTGAATTCTCAGTCCTGACAGTAAAACACGGTTATGGTAGCATCATGCTGTGGGGAAATATATTTTTTTTCTTTCCTGAAGCTGATCAGAGTTGATGGGAGGAGGTTTTATCTTGAAGTCCTCCTTCCAGCTGGATGTCCTAGTCAAAGCTCTGCCCTAATCCCTACTGGTACTTCACAAGATCTGAAAGCAGAACTTCAGACTTTTTAGTTTAACTGAGTTTGGGCTGCTTTGCTAAAGGCTGTATGCAAACCTAGATGTTTAGAGCCGGTGGGAACCAACCCTGCAGCTTGGACTCTGAGGGCTGGATAAACCAGCTTTTCCTCCCGGATGCACAACTTTTTCTTTTTCTCATAAAATTCTGATAAAATGCGCTTATGTGTTTGTGTAATGTGACAAAACGCAGATGTGGAAATGTTATTTTGGCGTGGGAGGTGTGGTTAGGTGCAGCGTGTGCGCGCAGGGTTTCCAGAGGGTTTTGTGTGGAGCGACTGGATGCAGGGAGCTGATCAGTGGCGCAGGGCGCTGTACAGCAGACGGATCCACAGCTGCGTTTTTGCGCCACAGATGGAACATTGCTTTTGTTCGAACCTCACCAATTCTCCCCTGCTCGTCCTGAGCTGAGCACCGGGGAGGCTGACAGCCTGGCTGTCCGCGGGTCACGGTTACGCACTGGCGGGTTGGCACCCGTGCGCCCGAGGGAAGAGGCCGCCACCATGCTCTGCTCCTCGGAAATCTCCTGCAACATCACAGAAGTCTTCAACCTAACGCAGAAGCTGGAGATTGGAGCGGCGGGGTCTGCTGGGAACCTCAGCGGGAAAACTAACGACACCGACCCGTTCGGGCGCAACGAGGAGGTGGCCAAGATCGAGATCACGGTCCTGAGCCTGGCTTTCGTGGCGGCGGTGGTGGGGAACCTGAGCGTCCTGCTGGCCATGTACCGGAGCCGCAGGAAGCTGTCTCGGATGCACCTGTTCATGAAGCACCTGAGCCTGGCGGACCTGGTGGTCGCCTTCTTCCAGGTTCTGCCGCAGCTCTGCTGGGAGGTCACCTTCCGCTTCTACGGGCCGGACTTTCTGTGCCGCATCGTGAAGCACCTGCAGGTTCTGGGCATGTTCGCCTCCACCTACATGATGGTGATGATGACGCTGGACCGCTACATCGCCATCTGCCACCCGCTGCAGACCCTCCAGCAGCCCACGCGGCGCGCCTACATCATGATCAGCTCCACCTGGGCGTGCAGCCTGGTCCTCAGCACCCCGCAGTACTGCATCTTCTCCCTGAGCGAGGTGCGGCCCGGATCGTCCGTCTACGACTGCTGGGGGCACTTCGTGGAGCCGTGGGGGCTGCGCGCCTACATCACCTGGATCACGGCTGGGATCTTCCTGGTTCCCGTGGCGGTGCTCGTCTTCTGCTACGGGTTCATCTGCAGGGCGATCTGGAGGAACCTGAAGTGCAAAACCCGCAGGAAGAGCGCGGACGCGGTGGTGGAGGCCACCAAGAGCGGGATCCTGGGCAGGAGCTCTGTGAGCAGCGTCTCCACCATCTCCCGCGCCAAATTACGCACGGTCAAGATGACTTTTGTGATCGTGGTGGCCTACGTGGTGTGCTGGGCTCCGTTCTTCACCGTGCAGATGTGGTCCGTGTGGGACAAGACCTTCTCCTGGCACGGTAGGATCCTCGATCATCTTCCATCATCCTCTCTGTTGCTGCTGGAGACTTAGCGCAGAGTTTATTCATGTGCGTAAAACTCAAAAGCTTTAAAAAAAAAAAAAAAAATCCCTTCTTAATTTTAATGCAAACTGTTTCTTTTTCCTCACCCCAAACATAAAAAGGTAATAAATGAAATATCGAATAAAATAAAATTAATATGCAGTAAAGTAGAATTCCTATATTTTATTTAAAAATCATTCACACTTCTCTAACATCTATTATTTATCTCTTAAATCTGTAAAATTCTTCAAATGTAAGTCAGCCAGTCATCAGAAATTTATTTTTCATTTATTTCTAAATGCTTTTTAAAATGCTTTACAGTTGATGCATCATTATATAAATTATTTAAAATAAAAGTGTTTTTCTTCCAGAATCTATTTAATTTTATTTATGCATAAAAAGATTTGAAATAAACTGAATCTACAGGTTTTTTTCTAACTAAACAATATATATACAAAGTCCCTAAAATAAAGTGTATTATTCTAAATTAGTCATTGTATAAAAAACATTTAACTTTGATCTTTGCTTTGGGTTTTAACCCTGTATAGATATTTTATTTTTGTCATACTTCCTATACTTTGAAATAATTAATAATATCTTTAGTTTGACAAGTAGACGACTATTATAAAACGATGAGATGCTATATGTGTTACACAGAAGAAACCTTCTCAGCTGTCATTGTTTGGGTGCAATCATATAAAGAAGTAATTTCTTTTTTCTCTGTAAAACTATATAAAAATGTTTTAAACCATTTAAAATTGGATCAATCAGTAAACACCTGTAGAAGATGCCCAAATCTGCAGCCCTCATCCATCCTGACCGTTTGCCAAGACGTGTTTTATGCTGATTTACTCATTAGGAATAATATTTATCATTCATTATGAATTGTTACACTATAGAACACCTAGACTGTTAAATATAATATACTTCCCATTGATTATAGATTGATTTTCTTGCCCATAGTATATATATATATATATATATCAGTTCTAAGTTTTAATTTAATCTCCCTCAGAAGTCATATTAGCTGCATCTTTACTGCATGAGTCAGAAGATTGGAAGATAAGAATGGGAGGACACAGAGCAGTCTATGTAGAAATAGATGCATAGTTGCTCGTCTGAGGGGCCTGGTTTGCTAAGGTAGACATGCACACATTTCTAACTGGCCGAAAAACCAGTTTAAATCGGGGAATAATTGGCTTTTATTGTAGTGGGAACGGGTCACTGAAGCTTCCTCCCACTGAAACTAGTGTTTTTCAACCCATGGCTCCCATCCCATTGGCTAATAAAGTTGGTCTAACCTCTCGCTGGCAGCTGCATGGCCTCTGATCCCCCTGGTGACACCATCACACTGAATTAAGGTTGATGATGTCATTAGTGTGACAGGAATCAGGAAAGTAAACAATGGAGTGCTGTGATAGTCGGTGTGATTTATTCTCTCTATTATCTGTCTGAATCCCCCTCACTGCAGCTGCTCCATGCTTATCCAATGGAAACAGAGTTGATTCTGCTGGTTAGATCAGAAGCAACTAGTGCGGTGTGTCGACGTTCGTACGTTGCGTTCAATGATATCACGTCTTTTAGCGTCTCTGGTGTTCCCACAGCATGCCGATCAGAGCTGAGGTGATTTTCGTCCAGTAAAGTGAGTCCAGATGCTTCTGCTGCTCCTGTGTTCGATGCCAGAGAGCAGCTTTGCTATA